AAATCCGCTTTCGAAAGGTCTCGCTCGAGCTGATGGCACTACTACCCGAGCACATACGCTTACGACTTATACTTCATCTTCTAGCCTCAAATTGGCCATACTCGCTCGGCTAGACAGATGTTTCGTCCTCCGTCAAGATCACTTGGACAAGCTAGCGAGGCAGCTAACAGGCACCTGGAAGAGTTGTCAGCTATCAACACTGCGGTACGGCGGAGCGATGCGGGACACAATGCCAATGCGCAAGCCAGCGAAGGCCTCCTCCGCCTCTCTAGCCTTTCAGCTTCCCGGTCAGCAGGACAACATGGAGCATTCATGAATACCTACGGATCCAGCACGCCCACGTCCATGACGACTTCTGCCTCCTTCTCCGGCACACACACTCCATCGCTTTCGCGCAGCTTGTCTCCGTCCAGCAGCATCAACAGCAGCTTCACCAATGGCACCGGTCAATCGTTGGCTTCCTCTGCCGCCGCTGCAATGGCAAACAGTGCAGATGTCAAGATCAAGAAGAGGTTGAGCAATGTGGACCGCAAACAGATTTGCGAGTATGCAAGGGATCATCCTCATGAAAGACAGGAGGTGGTCGGCAATCACTTTGGCGTAGAGAGAAGCACTGTGAGCAAGATCATGAAAGATAAGGACAAGTGGCTTGCTATCGATGTGGAACGCGAGGGTCATGTCGTCAAACATCGGTGAGTCGTCCGAGACCACGTGTCGCGCCCGTGCTCTGGTGCGTCGCTGACCTTCGCCTCTCGTGACAACCATCTATTTAGCAATGCGCGGTTCCCTGAGATCGAAAAGGAAGTCTGCGCATGGCTCGCAAAGGAAGCAAAGCGACCTTCGGACAAGGAGATTATGAACAAGGCTGCCAAGATCGCTGCCGCGCATGGCGAGCTGACCTTCAAGGCTAGCGCTGGATGGCTTGTCAAGTTTCGCGAACGTCTCGGTCGTCAAGGCTTGCGATTTGGTCACGTGCCTGCACGCAAATTGATCAACTCGGCCCTGACCCTGACCTCT